CTGGGTATTGCCTACGACACATTGTTCAATCGACTAGGCAAACTGGAGCATGGTCGTAGAGCAGTCGACTGTCTGGCATTGTCGGTTGCGCTTACTCCTGACGATGATCCAAAGAAGTCAAGCCGTCTAAGCAACATAGGAGTCATGTACCAAAGACTGTTTGATCGACGAGGCGAGCTACAGCATATCAATATGGCCGTTGACTGTGGGACGCAGGCTGTTGGGCTTGCTTCTGACAAACATCCAGATAAGCCAGTCTATCTGAACAATCTAGGAGGCGCCTACCAGAAACTGTTCAAACGATTAGGCGAGCTACAGCACATTCATATAGCTGTCAGCTATGGGGAGCAGGCAGTTGCACTCACACCTAGCAATCATCCGGATCGGGCAAGCCATCTAAGCAGTTTAGGAAGCGCCTACCAAACACTATGTGATCGACTAGGCGAGCTGCAGCATATCTATATGGCCGTCGACTATAAGGCGCAGGCAGTCGCGCTTACTCCTGACGGCCATCCGGATAAGCCAGGCCTTCTAAACAATCTTGGAATCGCCTATGAAACACTGTTCTATCGACTAGGCGAGCTGCAGCACATTTATCTGGCCATTGACTGTAAAACGCAAGCAGCTGCACTCACCTCTGACTGTGATCCGGATAAGCGAGCCTGTCTGAACAATCTGGGAAACTCCTATGAAGCACTGTTCAATCGACTAGGCGAGCTACAGCACATTCATATGGCCGTCGACTATAAGGCGCAGGCAGTTGTGCTCACTCCTGACGGTCACCCAGATAAGCCAGGCTGTCTGAACAGTCTAGGAAGGGCCTATGAAACACTGTTCAATCGAATAGGCGAGCTACAGTACATTCATATGGCAATCGACTGTAACACGCAGGCAGTTGCGCTTACTCCTGACAATCATCCAGATAAGCCAGCACGTCTAAGCACTTTGGGAAGCGCCTACACAACACTATTCAATCAGCTAGGCGAGCTACAGCATATTCATATGGCAGTTGACTATCAGGCGCAGGCTGTTGCGCTCGCTCTTGACAATCATCCGGATAAGCCAAGCTATCTGAACAACCTAGGAAACGCTTATGGAGCACTGTTCAAGCGACTAGGCGACTTACGGCACATTCATATGGCAATTGACTGTAAGACGCAAGCAGTTGGGCTCACTCCTAACGGTCATCCAGGTAAGCCAGGCCTTCTGGATAACCTAGGAAGCGCCTATGGAGCACTGTTCAAATGCCTTGGCAAGCTACAGCATATTAATATGGCCATTGACTGCGGGACGCAGGCAGTTGCACTCACTCCGGATGGTCATCCAGATAAGCCAAACTATCTAAACAACTTAGGAAGCACCTACGAAATACTGTTCAATCAAATAGGCGAGCGACAGCATATTCATGCGGCCGTCGACTGCCGCGTACAGGCAGTTACACTCACACCAAAGGGCGATCCTTTAGGAGCTTACCGGTTGGCAGGTCTGGGCCAATCATATTTCTTCCTGTTCAGTGCATCGTATGAACTTGAGCATATAGTCAAGTCAGAGCTGTACTCGAAATCTGCAGCTCTATCCCCGACTGGCTACCCCATGCACAGGCTTCAAGGCGCCACTCTTTGGGCGCGTCTGTCTAGGATAGGTCAATCTAACGTACTGGAAGCATACAACAGCTGCATGCTACGTCTTCCCGAAGCGGTATGGCTAGGCACCTCCGTTCGGCGTCGATTCGAGCGTCTAGCCTCAGATGTACGAGACCTCGTGTCCGATGCAGCAGCGGCTGCTCTCCTTGCGAATCGCTGTGACCTTGCAGTAGAATGGCTAGAGCAAGGACGCTGTCTAGTATGGGGTCAAATGTTGCAGCTGCGTACGCCGTTCGAAAAGCTTCGCGGGTCTCATCCAGAGCTAGCAGACGAGCTCTACACTCTGTCATCCCAGCTTGAAGATACGGGTAGTTTTACACGAATTTGCCAGACTGCAAGCATGCATGAAGGACTGTCACAGAATGGTGCATATACGCACAGCAGGTTAGCGGATATGCGAGACAGGCTCATCAACGAGATTAGGCTGAAACCAGGCTTCGATGACTTTCTTCGTCCGCCAAAAGTGTCGACCATCATATCTCACGTACAGCACGGAGCGGCTGTAATCCTGACTGTACATGAGTCTCAATGCGACGCCATCATCATCAAGCCAGGCGCTCGTGCCATTGACCACGTACCTTTGCCTGCTTTCTCTGACCAGAAGACAAAGGAGCTTTGTCAGCAGCTAGTCCTGTGCCTTAAATCACAAGGCATTGCACGTGGGGTTAAGAGAGGCGACGGTTCACTTCAGGTCTCATTCAAGAATATACTAGCTAGTTTGTGGTTGGACGTTGTAAAGCCAGTTCTGGATCACCTCAATATAACCGTAAGCCTGTGCGTTCAAGGTCTACCGTTTCTAAGTGATCATGTTTCTTGTCGTCTCTATAGCGGGTGCTTCTCATCGATGACCTTCCTCACATCACATGGTGCATCGCCGGCGCTCTATCCTTCCTACCCATCCACGCTGCAGGCATATACGATAGCCCTAGCACGATCCTGTCGAATCTAGCCATCTCGTCTTACACACCGACTATCAGTTCCATGGGTCGGTCTCATTCGACTCCACCAACCTTCTCCGGCGTGCTGGCTGTTGGCCACCAGTCGTCCATCCGCGGCCTCAGCCCCTTGCCTGGCACCAAAGACGAACTCGATAGGGTGGAAGAGCGGTTTGTCAATAGGCAGCTCACTCGACTCGAAGAGGATGCAGCGACGGTAGACGCGGTAGTGAAAGCGATGGCAGACCATAGCTGGGTCCACTTTGCTTGCCATGGCTCTCAGGACCCACTCGATCCGATGAACAGTTCGCTGCACCTGCACGACAAGCCTCTCAGCCTCGCTATGATATCGAGACACTCGATGAAGAACGCACAGCTCGCGTTTCTGTCGGCATGCCAGACCGCAAAGGGTGACTCGGAGCTGCCAAACGAGGCGGTCCATCTCGCAGCGGGTCTACTGATGGCTGGCTATGCAAACGTGATCGCGACTCTGTGGTCAATCAAGGACCAAGATGCGCCGATAGTTGCTGGAGAGACATATAAATGCCTGTTGGAAAGCGGAGTGCCGGACAGCAGGAAAGCAGCGAAAGCGCTGCACCGGGCAGTGAAACATCTACGAGATACGATTGGAGTGAATGAGTTTGCGCGGTGGGTACCGTACATACATATGGGAGGCTAGATGTAGACTAGGATATGGACCAATCAAACAATCAGATTTCTTGGATTTTGTCGACTATATGCGCACACGCAGAGATTTTTAGATAGTTTTATCACGATCGATGAAAGCATCTTCCGAAGCGCCAAAAAAATCTGACATTTCATTCAGACACAGAAAGTCGTTTTACTCGGTAAATTCCGCTGCAAACCTTTTTGCCGCTTTGGAAGATACATTTATGAATTGCAATAAGCCGTATAAACCACCGTTTTCGCAAGGCCTCCTGAGTTGTAGTGGAGTTTTGCAGCCATTGTATACGTATAGCTACATCGGTTGTCCCGGTACGATGGGGAAGTGGGAAAGGTTAGCTATGTGACCAGAGAAGACCATGAGCAGGACGAGATAGGGACACAGACAGATCCGATCGCAAACCACAAACCTAGAAGTTCCTACCTAGCTCAGTATTTGAATCGTATCTACATATAAGGCGCAACTAGTGTGGTTGCATATACGCGTACAGTTGTCGGGAAGCATAGTGGTCGCATGGACGTTAGGTTACATTCACTTCCAACTGCCAACCTGCATACAGCTGGAGGATACGCATCAGCTTCTGCCCGTGGGTCATCGCTTCCTACTCCTGTCAGCCACCCAGCCTCGACGCCTTCAAGCTCGTGCATCGATACCTAGGTACCGGTTGGTTAATAGTTCTCTATTCCACAAGTACCGTGGCAAGCTAGAGCTCATTTACGAGTAGCAGCTTAGTGGTCGATGAACTGATAATGGAGATCATCTTTCAAGCTTGGTTAGTTCAGCTGGTTAGAGCGCCGAGCTAGTATCTAAGTATATCGGGAGACGGAGACGTCAGCTAGGGGCCAGACTACGTGCATTTCTGGCTGCAAACTTGGTATGGAGTAGTTCGAGTGTATGCGTTGGGTTCTGGGAGTTTCTACCCCGGGCCATCGCTTCTTACTCCAATGATTGCGTGATCATGGTGCCCTTGAGCTCGCGCATGAACAGCGTAAAGGCTAGTTGGTTGGAATCATTATTCAACCCTCGGGTCCCGAAAGACGGCAGAGTACATTCACATGAGTTGCACAACTCATTACTGGTTTGCCGGTGTCCTTCCAAGGCTGGTTAGCTCAGTTGGTTAGAGCGTCGAGCTAATATTCAAGTTCTTCCTAGATTGTTGTAGGTTGTGCAGTGATTGTATGCGCTTAGTTATGTTGGCCAGGTGTGATAGAGAAGCGGGGAAGTTCGCGTGTAAGGCTATAGATGACCAATAGGCGGTAAGAAATAGCGATGGGGATAGGTACGCAGCTTTGTGCAATGGCAAACTTGCGGAACTGGCCCATTACGTGCCAAGCGGCTCAGAACCGCGGCAACGGGATATATATGAACACAAAAACTTTCCTATCTCAGTAGTTTGAATCGCGCACAGTGGTACAATTCTAGTAGCCGCTTGTACGCACCTATACTTTTTGAGAGACAGAGCCGTTAGATAGGGGTCGGGTTACGTGTGTTTTTGGCCATGAAATTACATACAGTACTAGTCCGGGTGTATGCGTCCCGTTCCAGGGGTTTCTACCCCAGAATCATTGATTGATACTCCCGTCCACTACCTCCCTGCGACGTCTTCAAGCTCGTGTATCAATACTTAGATATTCGTTGGTTCATAACCCTCCGCCCGCGGGGTAGTAGAGCAAGCTAGAGCTCACTTGCAAGTAACTGGGTCACGACATATCACTTAATTCCAAAACCAATTTTCAAGGTTGGTTAGCTCAGTTGGTTAGAGCGCCGAGCTAATAACTCGGAGGTCATGGGTTCGACCCCCCTACTGACCACATCTTTTGCCTCCCTTCCCACCGCACTCCCTCCACCCACCCATATCATATAACTTTTCTTCTTATAACCCACGCAAAAAGAGCACACGAACATATGCCATATATTCACATCACCATAAGCATACAAGCACATCAAAAAAATGCTCATCTCGTCTCAAATAAAACTAGTTACACATCCTACAAAAAGGACATAATACGATAGATAGATAAGCCAGCCAATCCGAACTCATAATCGTAAGCAAAATCAAGAAAACTAGACGTTAAAACAAGACAACGAAGGGCGACGAAGAGGGCAAAGAAAGGGCGGAGGAACGGAATCGAAGCGACAAAAAAGAGATATGTACACGAACCACATCTACGATTGATCCTCCCTCGCCTCGTCGACCTCGACACTCGGACCCAGCACCCTCGTACTGCTCAAATCAAGACTAGGCGGAACACCTAACCTTTGCGCATCGCTCGCCGCACGTCGTCTCCTTACTCCGACCTCGGATATGACAGCTTTGAGCTCTTGCACGACGTCTCCCCCCGGACCCCAATTCTCTCCACCACCGCCCGAACTCGCAGGTTTGAGTTCGCGCTTCGCACGAGCAGCAGCAATACGGTCCGCGCGGGACATCGTACTCCTCTGCCTCTTGCCCCCACTAACAATCAAATCATCCGAATCAGCCTCGAAAACCTGCTCGATCCCGGGCGGAGGAAGATGCTGCGCCGAAGTGCCCAACAACAAATACGCAGACGCGTCGTCCGACCGCACGTTTGAGCTCTCGATCGTAGACCGACTGAGGAGCGTGTCTCGACCCAAGGAATCTCGCCGGAGAATATCCGCATTCGTGTGATGCATCGCGTCGAGCGGGGTAAGTTCTTCCCCTTTTTCGGAGCTTGCCGGGCTAGAGGGGCTTCCGTCTAATCCGGGCACGTCGCTGTCTATATCTATATCTTCTTCTTCTCTTCTTGAGCGTTGGTGTTGTTGGCGGAGCACGGCCCGAGCACGTTCGAGCTGTCTGAGCGCCGTCCCAAGCTCACGCCGGACGGCTTCGAGCTGCGTGTCCGAGTCGGGCGATGACGTGTCGAGGGAAAGTGTCGAGAGGGATAAAGCCAGTTCTTTAGCCCGCCCCGCAGCCCCGACTAGTTCGTCGACGTGCATCGCAAATCTTTCCTTGGGCGTCGCGGTAGGCGCGAATCCAGCCGAAAGAGGAGTCAAAACAGCACCGGGAGCCAACCCGCTCTCGCTTCCAAAACTCGAATCCCCAACGCCGTTTCCTTGGACGCTCTCCACCGCAGCACCAAGCCGACTCGCAGCGTCCTCCATCCCGGCACTCAACAACCCCATCACGCTCTTCACATCCTCCCAATACTCTCCGTCCCCGTCCGCGAACCGTAGCGCCATAAGATGCGCAGCGGTATGCCTCCGACTCGATCGAGCGACCGTAAGAGCATGCCTAATCGCAGCCAACGAAGTCGTCTGAATCTGGTTGTACGACACACGTCGAAGGGAGGACAGCGCCGCAGACCCAAACGTCGTGTTTGGCGTCCGGTTTCGTCGTGGAGGCGTTCGAGGCGTCGTGACAGCTTCCGAATCAGACCCAAATTGAGGAAGAGGCGCGAGCCGTTCGCTGTCTTCGCCGATATCGGACACGACCTTGGGTGAACCTGTGTCTTCGTCCTCGTCGACCGGTAACGGAACGCCCATGGCGCGATCGGGCGTGGCGAGTCGAGACCGTCGCATGCTCGCGCTGGTTCGGCGTCGGCCGAGTCCGAGGGTTCCGTAATTCCCCCCAGTGCTGAATTTGCCTCCCCCGCCTCCAATTCCGGGGCCCCATGTGCTCCGTTTGCTCCCAGGCGTGTTTGGATTAGGAGATGGCGAGCCATCGAGGGTTCGAGGGCCGGGTCCGATGCTGGCGTATCGCGCGTGGCTGCGAACCCGGACGGGTGGAGGAGAGGTCGGTGGGGCGTACATGGCTGTTAGAGGTGCGAGTGCAGCGGGTTGTGTGAGTGGCGCGAATAATCCGCGTAGGGTGTCGGTTGTGTTTGTGGCGGCGTTTAACTCTGAAGAGAGCGCGACGCGCAGCGCCGAGGTGGCAGCAGAGGGGGCAGGAGCAGAAGACGAATAAAACAGCCTAATTAGGGATAGAATATAAGCTACAAATGAAAAGACCAGATAAAGGCACAATAAGACTCACGTTCGCTCTTCGGTCTCAAGGAGGCCAACTGCCTCGGACACGACCGAATCCCAGGCACTCGTAGCTTGGACACATCGGTCCAGAGCAGCGAGCATCATCGGGGCCGGATCGTCCTCCAACTCGCTTAGCCAACCACTGCTTCTTAATTTTCCGCAAGCAGTTGCTATGAACTGACGTGCATGGTGTTCCGGAGCGATATCCGTAACATGTGCGAGGCCCGCAATGAGCGCGATTATACACGCCGCTGCGAACCCGCTGGTGACGAACACGGCGAGAACGAGGACCCCCGCGGCGAGCGGCCAAGCGTGCACCGGGTCGACCGATGACGCGAGGTCGGATTCGTCCGTAGGTAGGGTTATGGGGTGGTGTGGGATGGTCGAGGTGTTTGGAGGCGAGCTGGAGGGAGATGTGTTGGAGAGCAGCGGGGAGAGGATGATGGCGTGGGTAAACCGCTCGGCAAACTCGCGGTGGGCGGTCTGGCGGGAGAGGTGCATGATGGTATGGGACAGTCGCTGGTACATGGCAAGGGGGGAGGAGGAAGAGGTGAGAGAGCAATGATCAGTCGAAGTCGTCATATATGATATGATAAGAACGTGTGTGGGGCGTGTGTGATATTGGCGTAGGACTTACACGGAGTACAGACACGAGTGGCTCGAACACGTCCTGGAGTGTGCTTTCCGTTTCAATCGAACGCTCAGAATCTGTTAATAGCTGGTCGCCTCCAGGCATAGTCATGCTCAACGCCTGTTCACCAGCCTCATCTGTCATCTCGTAAGCTTTAACCCCAAGTAATCAACGAGAAACAACTCGCCTTTGAGGTAGTCACCAAGCGGGTGCTGGTCGTATACCACCTGGGCCATAGCTAATAAAAAATATTTTACGGTCTGAGAGAGTGCCGTCGTCGCTAGCTCAGTACGGTCTGCTGGGCAGTGTTGCTGCGGCTGCGGCTCGAACAGGTTTCTCCCGGCGACCGAGGTCTAGATAGATAAGTCGAAAAGTTAAGAAACGAGCGTGTGGAGATGGTTGATAGGAAAAAAACTGGTTGTTTCTGTTGGCTGGAGGGTCGTGGTCGTTGCAGGAACAACGGACGCGAATGCGGGCACGTGCCCGATGCGTCACAAACTTGGGTTCATCTGGATCAGGGACGGTCTGAGCAGAAAGCTAAAGTTTCAAAATGCGAGAAACACATGGGGCTCCTTTGTGAAAACACGCGCACATGTATCCGTACGTATATTATATGTTTGCTCTTTATCCTTGCTATCGATTAATGCCAGCTCCAACCCGCTTCAGCATTTCAAGGTGATTTTAAAGTACAAATGCGTCTGACAGCTGCCTGACATCCCTCCGGCGGTAACCATGCTCGGCACCCATCAGCTTCCAAAATGCCCTCATGAACCATGGACAATCAACCATGGACAATCACTTCGGCACGAAAATCTCGTTCTACCTCGCATCCATCAAATTCAAGCTCTACTCATCCAAAAAAACGCAAACAACCCTCACCTTTCACCTAGTCCTAAACGCAACATCCCTCTGACTCCCAACACCCACAGCCTCCTCTCTCAACGCCTCGCACAACGTCTCCAGCTGAAGCTTCGTACTCTGGTCTCCCGAACTCGCTCGCACCCGGTCTTCGTACTCTTCCAGAAACGCACTGCATACTGCGTGCATGTGGGGCGTTTCGGTGGGTGTTTGGGAGATTATTTGGAGACGGAGTGGGGTGGAGAGTCGGTCTTGTGAGTTCATGGTGTGGACGACTGCAGTGCTTCCAGGCACGACATCGCGGCCGCTCCGGAAGTAGAAAAGATAGGCGCCGTAAGGGTTCTCGCGTGATGTTCGGAAAGACGCTCACTTGGATGTCCGGCCAGTGTTGAACTGTAGCACCGAGATGAAATAGAAACAAGAACAGTTTTTCCGCACCACCACCGAGCCCAACAGATGCCACGCAAGTCTAAGAAAAGCCTGGCAGCAACAAAACGTGAGAAAAAGAAAGCCGAGGGTCGACGTAAGTAAATAATACACCCGAGAAACCTGGGCAGAACACTCACAGAAAAGTAGTGATAAACCAACTCAACGCCCAAGTTTTGTCTCATAATGATCTCGAAACCGACCATGAAGACCGTGAGGGGTATCAGAGCGATAATACAGTGTTCAAAGAGAGCGCTGGGGGCGGTAATAGAACTGGGTTCGAGAGTGATGCGGATGAAACACAGGTCGTTAAAATCGATGGCAACAAGGAGACTCCGTATGAGCACTTTTACCGCAACCAGCTAAATGAGAATGTGAGTACATCGTGATAGCATATACATCCAAGGGATGACTAAATACGAAACAAAACGCAGCATGTAGGCAAACGGGCTCATGCAGAGTCAGACCCGGTCGCCGCAACACCTGGGGACACTGCAAGCGTCGAATCGGGGGTCGACTCGATACCTGCAACGAAAAAGGTGAAAATAGACGAACACCAGCGCAACACTCGCGGAAAATATACTGGGGACTCGCGTACAACCGCATGGCGGAATCGCAAGCACGTTCAACGATGTGCA